GGGGAACTTACCACACCGTATTATAAAAGTACAATTCTACATGTTTGTGTAGCCGCCGACAGGAAATGGTACATACCGCAAATTATCGACGCCTAGTCCCCTTAGTGTCCATAATAAAGAGGTTATATTTGTTTGAATTTGCTCCCTAGGGCTGAGATTTCAAGTGTCCGTTGTCCTGGTTTTAGAGAGGGTCGGTATCATAGAGGGTTTTTTTTAGAGGAAATGTATGAGAATTTTGTCGGTACATAGGGAACTGTCCGTATTAGAGAGGGGTCCGTATGGAGAGGTTCGACTCTATTCAATTTTTCCGTTTTCGCTCACGACGTCGTTTTGTTCTTTCAGAGTCAACTTCAGTAGCCTTGAAAGTACTGATAGGACTGGACCTAACTGAGAGCCCGTAAACACTGAGCACAGTGCTGTTCGTCGTAGACAAGTCAATGGCAGAAGAATCCAGGAAAAATACTCAAATGGGTGAATCCAAATCCACTTGGTATGACCACCTGGATGACCACCTGGAACCTGAGTATTTCTTAATAGTCAGCCAAGAAAACGAGTTAGCTCTTGATATTTCTACAGGTAAGAAAGGTGGAGATCTCGTCCTGAGTGAAGCACGTGGAAAGTCCAGTCAGCTGTGGAGATTGGATGAAGATCGTAGACTAGTCAGTAAACTGGGCTTGGTAGCCGATATCAAAGGCAAGAACAAAAATGCAGGAACTGTGTGCAACGCCTGGAAAGCGCACGATGGCCTCAATCAAAAGTGGCATTTTGAAGACGATGCGATAAAGAGCGACTTTAACAACCTTGTTATTGATGCCCGGACCCAGCCGGTTTCCATGAATGAAGTAGACGGCAGCTTGACTCAGAAGTGGTATTTTACTCCCGAAAACCCTCGGGCGGATGGTCAGCCAGTTGTACCTTCAGTTAAGTATTTCTTCGCAGCCAGCCAGAAAAATGGATTAGTTCTTGATATTTCCGCCGGAACGAAAGGCGGAGATCTCGTCCTGAGTGAAGCCCATGGAAAACCCAGTCAGCTGTGGAGATGGGATGAAGACTGCAGGCTAGTCAGTAAACTGGGCNCATGTAGTGTCAGTACTAAAGTCGAAATGAATATCCCCAATAGCGAGAGGCCATAAGCCTGCACAATTGATGTAAAACTTCAGCCGTCTTTTTCCTATACAGCTTTCGTAAGTTATTGATTTCAGTGTAAACCAAGCATGTATTTTCTTCAAAGAGCGTAGTCATGATTTTTCAACGATCTTCTTATAAAGAAATATCTTTTCGTTTAGCTAAGAGTGACGTCTTTGTTCTGAGCAAGTTATAATCAATTACATTGTGTGTGAACTGTTACAGCTTAGTTGCTTTTTAGTTTAGAATAAAGAAGAAACTGTCGAACCCAAGCTCAATGTACTCAGGCGGTTTTAAAGTCTCTCCGAACGACTAGATTGTGATAGTGGTGTGTCTGCTGTGAAATCGGAGCCAGATCTGGTTGTCTGCCTCAGAGATCCGTTTATGGACAGGCATCCATGCTCGTGTTGCGGAGGTGCCCCTCTTACAGTGGTGCATGTCCGTTTTAGGACAGTTGATTGTATTTCTAGGATAAAGAAGTATTTCTCATGTCTTCTGGACCTGCTTCTGGACTTCGAGCACAATGACACTTTCATACTCGCAAAGTAAGTTGGGGCTGGTGCCGGGTTTCTAAGCGCCAGTTTCGCGAGCGCGATGCGCAGCGCTAGTATATCGCCAGGATGAAGCTTGCGACTCAGAATCACTGGGAAACAACAGTTCACCCGCGAGGAGCTTCCGCGCTTTGACTCGCGCGTAAAAGTCGCACTGATAACGAAAGCGAGATTTATTTGCCAGAATTGACCATTCCACACCAATAATGGGTTGAAAATTAAATGATCCAGTGAAGTGCATTTTATGTTGTTCTTGTTGGTCGATCATTCTTGAGTGTTTGCCGAGACTGAAGTTTACGTTCCATTTGATCGCTACAAAGTTCAGTGAACTTAATTATTTTTACAGAAGTCAAATTATAAGTTGATCAAAGAAGTTAACATTGTGGTTTTAGGGGACCATGCAGTTTTAAGCTCTAGGTCGTAAATAAATTGATGAGTGCCAATAGATATCTAGGCTATAATTGCCTGAAGCTGTTACAGTAAAACGAGTCCATTATTAGCATATTTCATTCATGCTTATACACAACTGGACAACTTTGTTTTTGTAATTTATTTTTGTGCTTAGTGATGTCCGGTGGTAGTCTTTACAATTTTTAGAAATTGCACCATTTTTGAAAACCGTTCCATGAATTCTGTGTACATACGTTACTTTGAAACGTGTGTTCTTACAACCATAGATTGTAAATTATTAGGTAAATAAGTTCGTCTCCGAGAATTTCCGATATTTTTTGACAGGATGTTGCTATGAAACAACTGATGCAAAAACGTTCGTAAGTGTTCGGAAACTCTTCGGGATACCTAACAGGTCCGGTTTGCCGACCGTACCGTTTCTACAGTCCCGGATGAAGTCACGAATGTTTACTGGATAGTCTCCTTTCTAGCGTGGGCCGCGACGTCAGTAACTTAGATCTCCACATCTCCGCAGCTCCAAAGGCGCTTCTAAAGTTTGACGACTCAGTGCGCGGTAACATAGCTCGCACAATACCCGCCTTTACTTGGTTACGGTAGCTGTTTACAACAATTGGTGCCGAGGCCACTCTCTTCATGTCTTGGCGGCGGAAGTGTCGTGCGGAAGGCATGCTTTGAGTTGTGCGAGGTCGGCGTTTTCCTGAAGAGACAAAAGCGAAGGGTGTGTCATACCGACAAAAATTGACACAAATAGAGCACTTATTGTACCCAAAACTAAGGCAGCACCACAGCCGATTTTGCGACTCAGCCCGAATGAGAAACTCTCCAAGCAAAAGGAAGAAAGGAAAAAAATTACACAAAAACAGCAAACGAAATCTAAATGACATACGCAGTGTAGGTGAGGCGAAATGTTAACACACTGGTGCTCGTGCCAAATTTACTACGTGGAGACGAAACTGAAAAATTTCTTACAAGTCTAAGGCATTACTTCCAACAAACTACATCCATAGATGACTCTGGCGCTGTAGAAGAAAGCAAGCAACTGTCTGTGCGTTCAAAACATAACTAGGGATTTAAATTTCCTATATCAACAACTCACTCAGGAAAATACAGCTAAAGCAAGTAGCGTAAAATGAACGAATGCCATATATTTTTTTAAATCTACGAAGCCTTAAGTAACAGGTTAAAAATAAAAAAGCCATGTTAGGCGGGCGTTATTGGGTAGAAGGCTAATGGCTTTCACAAGTATCGCTAATACACCTTCTGGAGTGCTGTTGACTTGGCTGAAGGCCCAGTGGGGCGCTTGCAGCTTAAAAAACTTCCAGCCAGGAAGAAAAAAAATCCCACCATATCTTTTATCGGGCCCTGTCAAATGAGAAGTGTACACCTACTTTCTTCAGGGGGTAACCTCTGTGGTACCGGGGGACCTCCGTGAATCTCAAGACTGTTAAAAAAAAACGCAAAACACGTTACTCTTACAGTGTCTCTTAGTAGCCAGAGGTATAAATGGTTACCAGTGAATTTACGGCTGAGGGAAGGGGGCTGGAGTAGTCCTGCGATTGATTACCATCCCATCCAGGGGGAGTAGAAAACCGGGATAATCTCCGGCAAGGTTAGACTCTTTGGCCCGACGCGGACTTCACATTACGTTCTGACCTCATAATGAAACTAAACTCTTTATCTTAAGCGCTAATGATAGAGCAGCTGTGACTATGCTATATATTAGACAGACCTGGCTGAAGGCAGTCCCACGATCTTGGTCTGCCTCCACTCGTCCATGAACTCCATGGATATTTTCCCGTTACCAAGGTTATCCACAAGAGATTCAAGCAGCCCTGGAGTGTTCCTACATGCTTGCAACATCAGACGGGAAGCAGTACGGTCAAAGGAAAGGTAACCAAGGGCAACGGCGGCGCTGCTGCGAACTTCTTCGTTCAGCGACGACAGATTTGCGAGGAGCGCTTCCACAGAACCTGAACAGCATATAAATAAGAAAACATGGCACGAGTTAGCTTAGGCAAGAAGAACGATTAGTGTTCAACATTACAGTTTTTGACTTGGAAAGCATGTCTATAGCGAACATGTACTAAAGAACCCAACTCACACCAGCGCGTCAAGTACAGTAAATTGGTTTAGAATTTTGAAAAGGAGACAGGACCACTGGCGTTCACTTGAATGGCCACACACATAAGGGTTTTATACACAGACCTAAAAGTTAGAAACACCTACTAGAACACAGTACCACATGAAAGCACTGCTCAAAAGCTTTCATTTGAATAGTCACACACTAGGGTTTCATCCACAGACTTAAAAGTTAGAACCTTCAAATCTTGTAAAGCATAATAAACAGTACCACATGAAAGAACTGCTCAATAGCTTTCATTTGAGTGGTCACACACTAGGGTTTCATTCATTCACTTAAAAGTTAGAACCACCATGTACAGTACAATAAACAGCACCACATGAAAGTACTGCCCAATGGGTTGTAGCCAGAATGAGTTTGCAACATGTTTTACTTCGGAGCGATGTCACTTCACAGATAAACCATCCTTTACTGAGTTTTTACGTACCAGCCGTGATCAAAGCCGCAGGGACACCAGCCCGCGTGTGGCCGAGACTGGCTGACAAACTGGCGGCGAGTATCTGTGTGCTGTGCTGCTCAGAACTGAGCAAGCGCACTAGTAATTCCACACCACGTGCTGTCAGGGTCACCTGATCACTATCAATCACGCGTGCCAAGATGATGATCTGAAAAGCCGCGTGGGCCTGGTACAATTCGTTCTCAGATCCCAGAAACTCTTCGAAGGCCGTTAACGAAATTCCACCGGCGTTTTTAACGGCATACTGCTGTGAAGTGTTGTTGTAAGCAAATGTTGCGAGCGCCATACCAGCTTTATGTCGAACTGTTTCTTCCTTGTTGGAGAGGTGATGAAGAAGTTCTACAACACGAAACTTTGTCTGCTCCACTAGAAGCTTCTGTGTTTGTGAATTATTGAGAACTATTTTCCCCAAAGTTATCGCGACCTCAACCTGCAAAACGAATCAGGACATGGAAGTTATCTACGCACGTGTAGTTTTACTACATGTAATCGCAGGAGAAAGAAAGAGCGATTATTTTTCGTAAGTAAACTTTCATTCATTTTCAGAAATTAGACTATTTTGTAGACTCGATTTCCGCCGCTTTCTCGAGTCCGGTCTGAGTTCGGGGGAGGAACGCGGGCTCCTTTCCCGAACAGCGCCTGGTAATTGAGCCTAACTATTTTGCAGCTGAAAGCAAATCAAAAATGATAACCAAACACTTGTTTTCCTCTAATCAATCAAACGAATCTATCAGAGCGTGGCTGCTTTACTCAAGGGCGTTTTCAAGTGGCGAGAAAATTCGGCAGCCCGGCATTAACCTTTACTGTCAATTCAACCAATCAGCACGCGATGACTCTGTTGATCGACCAATTAGAGAAGACCTACTTCGTGGGCGCCTTCGAGTGGCGGGAAAATTCGGAAACCATACAATAACCAGCAACCATTGAAATTCAGCATCTGTTAGACGCTGGGGCTGTGGTAATTAACCAAACACCCAAGAATTCTTTAAAATGCGGTGGCCACAAAGAAGCCCTGTTTAACAAACCGCGAAACCAACCTGAATAAGCGCCTTTTTTGACGTGCGCAGGAGACGAACAAGCGTAACAAGCGCTTCAGCATTTGTTATCTCAAGCTGGGTTGATTTGTTTGACTGATGAGCCACGCCTACACACAGGATGCCGAGAACACGAATCACCATCAGCAAAACCTGTAGCCAAGAAAATATGAATGTGAAAAGAAACATTTACTACCGAGTCACTTCTTCACAAATTGAGGACTATTTTCCTGTGTTCACTACAAAGTTAATAGGCACTATCTAACGACAGTGTTGGTGGAATGAATTACTTCACGACCTATAAGTAAACAACAGAACTTCAACCTACGCTATTGCAAGATATTTTGCAAAGTTTTAGTACGCCCCATGTTTGCACGTTTGTCCATATTGTATTATTGCGCTTCATTTTCTGTTTTGCCATCACTAGCCATCTTTGCTTCCTAAAGGGTCCCTCTTATTTGTCAAGCACTGTTCCACAACCCAACTGACTTTTTTGTTCAGGTTATCACAGATTATTCAGCGCAACAAAAGTGAGGGAAAGAAATTGGACAGTAGCTACATGTGCCATATAAACTGTACACAGCAGGCAGGCAGATGGAGCAAAATGACCCGACTGTCTCTGGAAAGGTATGTTCACTAAAGTCTGTCCAGCATCCTCAACCCTCCCAGCCCCTCCGATCCAAAGGGGAATTGTGGAGAACGCACATACAGTCAGGACATCAACACTCTTTTATACTATTATTTTTTCCCAACAAGTTCAGGCCATTAAAATAACATTACAAACCTTTTCAGAGGTCTTAGCTGATCTCAGGAGTCTCACTAGAGGCTGCACTCCGCCTCCAGCCACAATCTTGTTCTGATTCTCAATGTTCTCTGTAGTTAAAGCAATGATGGCCATGCCAGCAATAAACTGTAGAGTTTCTGATTTGAGCATCAACATGTCAACAAGGATGTTAATTCCAATCATGCTGGCAATACGCTGCTGCTGATGCCGCGTGACACCTGCCAACGCCCACAGAGCACTGGCACCTGCAACAAGAAAAAAATAGTTATGGAATGTTTGGTTCCAGAAAATGTTCACACCTACCCCAAGGATGGCTTCGGGAAATTCCAATGGGGAGGGAGATCTCAAAAGCCTAAATTTTTAAGGGAAAGTATGAATCAAAACTGGAATTTCCAGGGGTATGGCAGAGGGGTTCAATATTTTCTGGAACAACACAATGCATGGAAAGAGGCTGTTTGTACAATGTAATGTAGCTGAGGCAAATGTGTGCATAGAAGCATGTAATGTATGCCCAGAGGGTTGTAATTTATTCAAAGGCTCTGGCAGGGCAAGAGGCATTTACATGTATGTAGAGGCTTGTACATACATCTTGTAACATATTGTACATGTGAAGAGTATGCAATGCATGTAAAGTCATGCAATGACTATGTTGTGGGGTTTTTATTTACTTATTTATTTATCTACTTATTTATTCATTTATTTATTTTTATTATTTTTTAAACTAGTTTAAATTAATTTTCAGATTACAATAATGACTACTAGAAAAAGGACAATAAAAATGATACTGGTTTATACAAATAAAATGTAACGCTAAAAGCACACAAAGAATATCGACCAAAACATAAAAAGATACATGTATTATTATGTGCATTTATGTAGGAAGTGGCGCATTCATGCAATGCACATTTAAGTGTTGTGGTTTGAATTTAGTTTTGAATAGGAATTTTCTAGACCAATTTGATTTTTATTTCCTTATATTTTTNCCTTTACTTGACAAAGTGTCTTTGTACTCTTTGCTAAGCAGACAAGTGGCTTGACAGCTCCCTTAGCGACAACAAGGTCTTGGTTCTCGCGATGGCCTTTGGCCAAGGAGCTCAGACAGGCTGCTGTATTGGCTTGAAGATTCTTTGATTTAGCACCTGAAAAGTTACAGGTAAGATATATTTTTACCTCTTTCTGTCACATCCCAAGCACATACATGTAAACAATAACAGTTATCTCCAACAGTTATCTCGTGGAAATAAACATGGGTTTGAGATGACCTCAACTGCTTTGTTCCCCCTTGGAGTTAAAAAGTTTGAACACTGAAATATTTTTAATGATTAGGTGCTTTCTACTGGACATGCACACTATTGTTTCGCATTTTATTCTTGCATTTATTACTACATTCTTGTATTTATCGTTACATTTTATTCATTATATTTATTTACTAGTCCGTTATTATTTAATATTACTTTTGTAAAGCTCTATTGGTATATTGCAAATTCAGGATGAAAAGAAAGCAAATTTTCAGGCTTGCCATTACAATGAATAATAATGTGCTAGCCTGAAAATCCTTCTCATAAGCCCCATCTCTTATAGAACTTCTGTTAAAAAATTTCCCAAATGAATAAACTTCACTTTTTACCACAATGGCTCCTAATCCCACAATTTGATTGGCTAATTTGCCATGGTCGATAAGTCCAGACAACGCTGCTAATGTCAATGTGTCACGCAATGCCTTTTTCAGCTCAAGCTCTGAAAAAAACACTTCCTTTGATGTCGGTGTTGTGGTAAAAAAAAAATCGAAATGTGGTTTAGCGTGGTCTGTACATGTACTCTTTTCAACAACAATACGTGTCATCACAGTGGTCAACATTTTGACCACTGTGATGACGCGTATTATTGTCGATAAGAGTACAGACCACCCTAAACCACATTCGATTTGTTAAAATGTCAATATTGGGGCAAATGATGGACAGAATCTACTAGTCCCAGGCTTTCAGCAGGACGTTCTTTGCACACTGTTAATTACTCACTCAAAAGTTCAGTAAGGGTGTCAATGGCACCACTCTTAGCAACAGCTGTCTGGTTGTCATGGTTACCATCACACAAGACCCTCAGTGCATTGACGCAGTTCACCAACACATGTTCAAGTTCAGAGTCCAGCAAACTGACAAGTGCTTCTATTCCACCTAGACGTGGACAAAGTAAAAACAATTAAAAAATAATTTAGTTTACCATTTTAATACTAAAAGTAATGTGATGTTCCGATTTGATTTTCAACCCCTTCCACTCTCGAAATTGCAGTTTACATGTAACTTCATACTTTCCTTAAGAAACATTTTTTGAAACATCCATCCCCCTCTGAATTTTCAATTTGATCCCCCATGGGGTGGACATTCATGTACTGTAGAATGATATTAAATCATAGAAACACACAACTGCAGGTACATGTACATGTACTTTTCGTATTTGAATAATTATGCAATGTGGCTTTTACTTTGGTTGTCATTTTAAGGCAGTTTTTGATCAGACAACCCGTCTAAGGGGATATAATCCCTAACTGAAAGTGCTTACTTTAACTACTATGAGCAAATCTACCCAAATTCAATAAAACCAGTCCCTAAAAGGTTTCAATTTTGTTCAAACGTACAGTTTTCCTCGGCTATTTTTCAGAGGGTAAGTCTTTAATTGATATATTGTTAGTTCCACTTGTAAAAAAGACTTTCACTAAGAAAAGTAGTCAAGGCAAATTGTGGCATTTGGACAAAACTGTGGAGTTAACCCAGGGCTGATATGCAGAACATTTTGTCACATTAACATATACGAGTATGAAAAGTTACTCCCAGCTTTCGTTACCTTCTTCAAAAATCTTTCCCTGGTTAACATCCAAACAAGCCAGATCACCAAGGATGACAGCAGCTCGAGAGTGAATCATGGGCACAGGTGAATGCAGAAGGCTGACAACAACAGGGATAGCATCAGCTTTCGACACCTCGGCTCTAACCTCTGCATGACTTCCAATGTTACACAGAACAGATCCTGCAAGAGATTGCAGCTCTGCATTCTGAAGTCTGAGAAGATCTACAAGGGCAGGAACCCCTCCTGCATGTAGGATAGACTTCCAGTTGCTTTCTANCCTTTACTTGACAAAGTGTCTTTGTACTCTTTGCTAAGCAGACAAGTGGCTTGACAGCTCCCTTAGCGACCACAAGGTCTTGGTTCTCGTGATGGCCTTTGGCCAAGGAGCTCAGACAGGCTGCTGTATTGGCTTGAAGATTCTTAGATTTAGCACCTGAAAAGTTACAAGTAAGATATATTTTTACCTCTTTCTGTCACATCCCAAGCACATACAATTAAACAATAACAGTTATCTCTAACAGTTATCTTGGGGAAATAAACATGGGTTTGAGATGACCTCAACTGCCTTTGTTCCCCCCTGGAGTTAAAAAGTTTGAACACTGAAATATTTTTAATGATTAGGTGCTTTCTACTAGACATGCACACGATTGTTTC